GTAGTAGTAGTAGTAGTAGTAGTAGTAGTAGTAGTAGTAGTAGTAGTAGTAGTAGTAGTAGTAGTAGTAGTAGTAGTAGTAGTAGTAGTAGTAGTAGTAGTAGTAGTAGTAGTAGTAGTAGTAGTAGTAGTAGTAGTAGTAGTAGTAGTAGTAGTAGTAGTAGTAGTAGTAGTAGTAGTAGTAGTAGTAGTAGTAGTAGTAGTAGTAGTAGTAGTAGTAGTAGTAGTAGTAGTAGTAGTAGTAGTAGTAGTAGTAGTAGTAGTAGTAGTAGTAGTAGTAGTAGTAGTAGTAGTAGTAGTAGTAGTAGTAGTAGTAGTAGTAGTAGTAGTAGTAGTAGTAGTAGTAGTAGTAGTAGTAGTAGTAGTAGTAGTAGTAGTAGTAGTAGTAGTAGTAGTAGTAGTAGTAGTAGTAGTAGTAGTAGTAGTAGTAGTAGTAGTAGTAGTAGTAGTAGTAGTAGTAGTAGTAGTAGTAGTAGTAGTAGTAGTAGTAGTAGTAGTAGTAGTAGTAGTAGTAGTAGTAGTAGTAGTAGTAGTAGTAGTAGTAGTAGTAGTAGTAGTAGTAGTAGTAGTAGTAGTAGTAGTAGTAGTAGTAGTAGTAGTAGTAGTAGTAGTAGTAGTAGTAGTAGTAGTAGTAGTAGTAGTAGTAGTAGTAGTAGTAGTAGTAGTAGTAGTAGTAGTAGTAGTAGTAGTAGTAGTAGTAGTAGTAGTAGTAGTAGTAGTAGTAGTAGTAGTAGTAGTAGTAGTAGTAGTAGTAGTAGTAGTAGTAGTAGTAGTAGTAGTAGTAGTAGTAGTAGTAGTAGTAGTAGTAGTAGTAGTAGTAGTAGTAGTAGTAGTAGTAGTAGTAGTAGTAGTAGTAGTAGTAGTAGTAGTAGTAGTAGTAGTAGTAGTAGTAGTAGTAGTAGTAGTAGTAGTAGTAGTAGTAGTAGTAGTAGTAGTAGTAGTAGTAGTAGTAGTAGTAGTAGTAGTAGTAGTAGTAGTAGTAGTAGTAGTAGTAGTAGTAGTAGTAGTAGTAGTAGTAGTAGTAGTAGTAGTAGTAGTAGTAGTAGTAGTAGTAGTAGTAGTAGTAGTAGTAGTAGTAGTAGTAGTAGTAGTAGTAGTAGTAGTAGTAGTAGTAGTAGTAGTAGTAGTAGTAGTAGTAGTAGTAGTAGTAGTAGTAGTAGTAGTAGTAGTAGTAGTAGTAGTAGTAGTAGTAGTAGTAGTAGTAGTAGTAGTAGTAGTAGTAGTAGTAGTAGTAGTAGTAGTAGTAGTAGTAGTAGTAGTAGTAGTAGTAGTAGTAGTAGTAGTAGTAGTAGTAGTAGTAGTAGTAGTAGTAGTAGTAGTAGTAGTAGTAGTAGTAGTAGTAGTAGTAGTAGTAGTAGTAGTAGTAGTAGTAGTAGTAGTAGTAGTAGTAGTAGTAGTAGTAGTAGTAGTAGTAGTAGTAGTAGTAGTAGTAGTAGTAGTAGTAGTAGTAGTAGTAGTAGTAGTAGTAGTAGTAGTAGTAGTAGTAGTAGTAGTAGTAGTAGTAGTAGTAGTAGTAGTAGTAGTAGTAGTAGTAGTAGTAGTAGTAGTAGTAGTAGTAGTAGTAGTAGTAGTAGTAGTAGTAGTAGTAGTAGTAGTAGTAGTAGTAGTAGTAGTAGTAGTAGTAGTAGTAGTAGTAGTAGTAGTAGTAGTAGTAGTAGTAGTAGTAGTAGTAGTAGTAGTAGTAGTAGTAGTAGTAGTAGTAGTAGTAGTAGTAGTAGTAGTAGTAGTAGTAGTAGTAGTAGTAGTAGTAGTAGTAGTAGTAGTAGTAGTAGTAGTAGTAGTAGTAGTAGTAGTAGTAGTAGTAGTAGTAGTAGTAGTAGTAGTAGTAGTAGTAGTAGTAGTAGTAGTAGTAGTAGTAGTAGTAGTAGTAGTAGTAGTAGTAGTAGTAGTAGTAGTAGTAGTAGTAGTAGTAGTAGTAGTAGTAGTAGTAGTAGTAGTAGTAGTAGTAGTAGTAGTAGTAGTAGTAGTAGTAGTAGTAGTAGTAGTAGTAGTAGTAGTAGTAGTAGTAGTAGTAGTAGTAGTAGTAGTAGTAGTAGTAGTAGTAGTAGTAGTAGTAGTAGTAGTAGTAGTAGTAGTAGTAGTAGTAGTAGTAGTAGTAGTAGTAGTAGTAGTAGTAGTAGTAGTAGTAGTAGTAGTAGTAGTAGTAGTAGTAGTAGTAGTAGTAGTAGTAGTAGTAGTAGTAGTAGTAGTAGTAGTAGTAGTAGTAGTAGTAGTAGTAGTAGTAGTAGTAGTAGTAGTAGTAGTAGTAGTAGTAGTAGTAGTAGTAGTAGTAGTAGTAGTAGTAGTAGTAGTAGTAGTAGTAGTAGTAGTAGTAGTAGTAGTAGTAGTAGTAGTAGTAGTAGTAGTAGTAGTAGTAGTAGTAGTAGTAGTAGTAGTAGTAGTAGTAGTAGTAGTAGTAGTAGTAGTAGTAGTAGTAGTAGTAGTAGTAGTAGTAGTAGTAGTAGTAGTAGTAGTAGTAGTAGTAGTAGTAGTAGTAGTAGTAGTAGTAGTAGTAGTAGTAGTAGTAGTAGTAGTAGTAGTAGTAGTAGTAGTAGTAGTAGTAGTAGTAGTAGTAGTAGTAGTAGTAGTAGTAGTAGTAGTAGTAGTAGTAGTAGTAGTAGTAGTAGTAGTAGTAGTAGTAGTAGTAGTAGTAGTAGTAGTAGTAGTAGTAGTAGTAGTAGTAGTAGTAGTAGTAGTAGTAGTAGTAGTAGTAGTAGTAGTAGTAGTAGTAGTAGTAGTAGTAGTAGTAGTAGTAGTAGTAGTAGTAGTAGTAGTAGTAGTAGTAGTAGTAGTAGTAGTAGTAGTAGTAGTAGTAGTAGTAGTAGTAGTAGTAGTAGTAGTAGTAGTAGTAGTAGTAGTAGTAGTAGTAGTAGTAGTAGTAGTAGTAGTAGTAGTAGTAGTAGTAGTAGTAGTAGTAGTAGTAGTAGTAGTAGTAGTAGTAGTAGTAGTAGTAGTAGTAGTAGTAGTAGTAGTAGTAGTAGTAGTAGTAGTAGTAGTAGTAGTAGTAGTAGTAGTAGTAGTAGTAGTAGTAGTAGTAGTAGTAGTAGTAGTAGTAGTAGTAGTAGTAGTAGTAGTAGTAGTAGTAGTAGTAGTAGTAGTAGTAGTAGTAGTAGTAGTAGTAGTAGTAGTAGTAGTAGTAGTAGTAGTAGTAGTAGTAGTAGTAGTAGTAGTAGTAGTAGTAGTAGTAGTAGTAGTAGTAGTAGTAGTAGTAGTAGTAGTAGTAGTAGTAGTAGTAGTAGTAGTAGTAGTAGTAGTAGTAGTAGTAGTAGTAGTAGTAGTAGTAGTAGTAGTAGTAGTAGTAGTAGTAGTAGTAGTAGTAGTAGTAGTAGTAGTAGTAGTAGTAGTAGTAGTAGTAGTAGTAGTAGTAGTAGTAGTAGTAGTAGTAGTAGTAGTAGTAGTAGTAGTAGTAGTAGTAGTAGTAGTAGTAGTAGTAGTAGTAGTAGTAGTAGTAGTAGTAGTAGTAGTAGTAGTAGTAGTAGTAGTAGTAGTAGTAGTAGTAGTAGTAGTAGTAGTAGTAGTAGTAGTAGTAGTAGTAGTAGTAGTAGTAGTAGTAGTAGTAGTAGTAGTAGTAGTAGTAGTAGTAGTAGTAGTAGTAGTAGTAGTAGTAGTAGTGAGGAGTATATCACAGATTTGATCGACAAGTGGACGCTGCAGGTTGATCGCCTGGCGGAGGTGGCCACCACTCAGCCACATGCTGCGTACGAGGTGTTTGTAAAGGGCCTCGTGTCCAAGTGGCGGTACCACTTGCGCGTCCTATCTTGCCCTGCGCATCTTCTGGCCCGTCTCGACGCCGCCATTACGGACAAGCTGCTGCCAGCGCTCAGCGGCCATTCGTGTTCGGAGGAGTCGGCACTGAGAAAGTTGCTATCGCTACCAGCGCGGTTTGGTGGCATGGCAATCCCTGTGCCCTCGGTGGAGGCCGAGAAAGAGTTTTCTGCATCCAGACAGATTGTGGCTCCTGTGGCGGCCTGCATAAGACCACCAGAACATCCAACCAGCACCAACGAAACTACTCAAACAGACCAGCTGAACGAGGCAATAGCCCTCAGCCGGCAGGAGGCCGGGCGTATTCGCAGAGAGAAAGCTGCCCAAGCCACGGGTCTCGTTAGCGAATTGCGCCCGGATTTGACAGCAACACAGGCTCTGTTGGTGGAGAATGCCGCGGAAAAGGGCGTATCATCTTGGGTAACGGCGGAACCATCGTCCCAAATGCAGATGGTGCTGAACAAATCGGATTTCCGAGATGCGTTCTGCATCCGCTACGGCCTGCAGCCTGACGGACTCCCCCTGACTTGTGTATGTGGTGCTGCAAACACAATAGACCATGCGATGATGTGTCCGGCAGGGGGCTACCCCATGGCACGCCACAATGAGATCCGGGACTTGTTGGCTGACGTGATGCGTGAGGCGGTCCGGGATGTGGAGGTAGAACCGCCTCTACTACCATATGATGGTGAGCGGCTCCAAGGGAGGACAGCCAACCGCTCGGCAGGTGCCCGCCTGGACATCCGGGCTTGTGGCTTCTGGACGAGACAGCAAGATGCCTTTTTCGACATCCGGGTTACACACCCAAAGGCAAGCTTGCTGTCGCGTCAGGAAGTCATCAGCCAGCTCCGAACGCATGAACGGATGAAGAAGCGCCAGTACGGAGAGCGGGTGACAGCAGTTGACAGAGGTACGTTTACACCGCTAGTTTTTTCTACCTCGGGCATGATTGGCAGAGAATGTTCAATGGCACTGAAGACACTGGCATGCCTGATTGCTGAGAAGAACGTCGACCTACACGTATCGGTAATCATGGGTCAGCTCCGTTGTAAGCTGTCAGTCTGCCTTATGCGATGGGCAGTCACCTGTTTGCGTGGTTCAAGATCGTCATACCGCCGCAACAGGATGAATTTCACGACGATGTGCAGGTTGCGGGCAGCCTGAGCGTGATAGTACCTGACAGACATTTGCCCAACATTGCCCCATGATAATGAATTCTTGAGTTTTTGGACATTGTATTGCATTGCTGCTCCATCTACATGGCTGTATTTGTGTTTCACATCTCCATTTCAAGTTTCCTAATAAAGATTGTGTCAAGTAGTAGTAGTAGTAGTAGTAGTAGTAGTAGTAGTAGTAGTAGTAGTAGTAGTAGTAGTAGTAGTAGTAGTAGTAGTAGTAGTAGTAGTAGTAGTAGTAGTAGTAGTAGTAGTAGTAGTAGTAGTAGTAGTAGTAGTAGTAGTAGTAGTAGTAGTAGTAGTAGTAGTAGTAGTAGTAGTAGTAGTAGTAGTAGTAGTAGTAGTAGTAGTAGTAGTAGTAGTAGTAGTAGTAGTAGTAGTAGTAGTAGTAGTAGTAGTAGTAGTAGTAGTAGTAGTAGTAGTAGTAGTAGTAGTAGTAGTAGTAGTAGTAGTAGTAGTAGTAGTAGTAGTAGTAGTAGTAGTAGTAGTAGTAGTAGTAGTAGTAGTAGTAGTAGTAGTAGTAGTAGTAGTAGTAGTAGTAGTAGTAGTAGTAGTAGTAGTAGTAGTAGTAGTAGTAGTAGTAGTAGTAGTAGTAGTAGTAGTAGTAGTAGTAGTAGTAGTAGTAGTAGTAGTAGTAGTAGTAGTAGTAGTAGTAGTAGTAGTAGTAGTAGTAGTAGTAGTAGTAGTAGTAGTAGTAGTAGTAGTAGTAGTAGTAGTAGTAGTAGTAGTAGTAGTAGTAGTAGTAGTAGTAGTAGTAGTAGTAGTAGTAGTAGTAGTAGTAGTAGTAGTAGTAGTAGTAGTAGTAGTAGTAGTAGTAGTAGTAGTAGTAGTAGTAGTAGTAGTAGTAGTAGTAGTAGTAGTAGTAGTAGTAGTAGTAGTAGTAGTAGTAGTAGTAGTAGTAGTAGTAGTAGTAGTAGTAGTAGTAGTAGTAGTAGTAGTAGTAGTAGTAGTAGTAGTAGTAGTAGTAGTAGTAGTAGTAGTAGTAGTAGTAGTAGTAGTAGTAGTAGTAGTAGTAGTAGTAGTAGTAGTAGTAGTAGTAGTAGTAGTAGTAGTAGTAGTAGTAGTAGTAGTAGTAGTAGTAGTAGTAGTAGTAGTAGTAGTAGTAGTAGTAGTAGTAGTAGTAGTAGTAGTAGTAGTAGTAGTAGTAGTAGTAGTAGTAGTAGTAGTAGTAGTAGTAGTAGTAGTAGTAGTAGTAGTAGTAGTAGTAGTAGTAGTAGTAGTAGTAGTAGTAGTAGTAGTAGTAGTAGTAGTAGTAGTAGTAGTAGTAGTAGTAGTAGTAGTAGTAGTAGTAGTAGTAGTAGTAGTAGTAGTAGTAGTAGTAGTAGTAGTAGTAGTAGTAGTAGTAGTAGTAGTAGTAGTAGTAGTAGTAGTAGTAGTAGTAGTAGTAGTAGTAGTAGTAGTAGTAGTAGTAGTAGTAGTAGTAGTAGTAGTAGTAGTAGTAGTAGTAGTAGTAGTAGTAGTAGTAGTAGTAGTAGTAGTAGTAGTAGTAGTAGTAGTAGTAGTAGTAGTAGTAGTAGTAGTAGTAGTAGTAGTAGTAGTAGTAGTAGTAGTAGTAGTAGTAGTAGTAGTAGTAGTAGTAGTAGTAGTAGTAGTAGTAGTAGTAGTAGTAGTAGTAGTAGTAGTAGTAGTAGTAGTAGTAGTAGTAGTAGTAGTAGTAGTAGTAGTAGTAGAACGTCGACCTACACGTATCGGTAATCATGGGTCAGCTCCGTTGTAAGCTGTCAGTCTGCCTTATGCGATGGGCAGTCACCTGTTTGCGTGGTTCAAGATCGTCATACCGCCGCAACAGGATGAATTTCACGACGATGTGCAGGTTGCGGGCAGCCTGAGCGTGATAGTACCTGACAGACATTTGCCCAACATTGCCCCATGATAATGAATTCTTGAGTTTTTGGACATGGACATTGTATTGCATTGCTGCTCCATCTACATGGCTGTATTTGTGTTTCACATCTCCATTTCAAGTTTCCTAATAAAGATTGTGTCAAGTAGTAGTAGTAGTAGTAGTAGTAGTAGTAGTAGTAGTAGTAGTAGTAGTAGTAGTAGTAGTAGTAGTAGTAGTAGTAGTAGTAGTAGTAGTAGTAGTAGTAGTAGTAGTAGTAGTAGTAGTAGTAGTAGTAGTAGTAGTAGTAGTAGTAGTAGTAGTAGTAGTAGTAGTAGTAGTAGTAGTAGTAGTAGTAGTAGTAGTAGTAGTAGTAGTAGTAGTAGTAGTAGTAGTAGTAGTAGTAGTAGTAGTAGTAGTAGTAGTAGTAGTAGTAGTAGTAGTAGTAGTAGTAGTAGTAGTAGTAGTAGTAGTAGTAGTAGTAGTAGTAGTAGTAGTAGTAGTAGTAGTAGTAGTAGTAGTAGTAGTAGTAGTAGTAGTAGTAGTAGTAGTAGTAGTAGTAGTAGTAGTAGTAGTAGTAGTAGTAGTAGTAGTAGTAGTAGTAGTAGTAGTAGTAGTAGTAGTAGTAGTAGTAGTAGTAGTAGTAGTAGTAGTAGTAGTAGTAGTAGTAGTAGTAGTAGTAGTAGTAGTAGTAGTAGTAGTAGTAGTAGTAGTAGTAGTAGTAGTAGTAGTAGTAGTAGTAGTAGTAGTAGTAGTAGTAGTAGTAGTAGTAGTAGTAGTAGTAGTAGTAGTAGTAGTAGTAGTAGTAGTAGTAGTAGTAGTAGTAGTAGTAGTAGTAGTAGTAGTAGTAGTAGTAGTAGTAGTAGTAGTAGTAGTAGTAGTAGTAGTAGTAGTAGTAGTAGTAGTAGTAGTAGTAGTAGTAGTAGTAGTAGTAGTAGTAGTAGTAGTAGTAGTAGTAGTAGTAGTAGTAGTAGTAGTAGTAGTAGTAGTAGTAGTAGTAGTAGTAGTAGTAGTAGTAGTAGTAGTAGTAGTAGTAGTAGTAGTAGTAGTAGTAGTAGTAGTAGTAGTAGTAGTAGTAGTAGTAGTAGTAGTAGTAGTAGTAGTAGTAGTAGTAGTAGTAGTAGTAGTAGTAGTAGTAGTAGTAGTAGTAGTAGTAGTAGTAGTAGTAGTAGTAGTAGTAGTAGTAGTAGTAGTAGTAGTAGTAGTAGTAGTAGTAGTAGTAGTAGTAGTAGTAGTAGTAGTAGTAGTAGTAGTAGTAGTAGTAGTAGTAGTAGTAGTAGTAGTAGTAGTAGTAGTAGTAGTAGTAGTAGTAGTAGTAGTAGTAGTAGTAGTAGTAGTAGTAGTAGTAGTAGTAGTAGTAGTAGTAGTAGTAGTAGTAGTAGTAGTAGTAGTAGTAGTAGTAGTAGTAGTAGTAGTAGTAGTAGTAGTAGTAGTAGTAGTAGTAGTAGTAGTAGTAGTAGTAGTAGTAGTAGTAGTAGTAGTAGTAGTAGTAGTAGTAGTAGTAGTAGTAGTAGTAGTAGTAGTAGTAGTAGTAGTAGTAGTAGTAGTAGTAGTAGTAGTAGTAGTAGTAGTAGTAGTAGTAGTAGTAGTAGTAGTAGTAGTAGTAGTAGTAGTAGTAGTAGTAGTAGTAGTAGTAGTAGTAGTAGTAGTAGTAGTAGTAGTAGTAGTAGTAGTAGTAGTAGTAGTAGTAGTAGTAGTAGTAGTAGTAGTAGTAGTAGTAGTAGTAGTAGTAGTAGTAGTAGTAGTAGTAGTAGTAGTAGTAGTAGTAGTAGTAGTAGTAGTAGTAGTAGTAGTAGTAGTAGTAGTAGTAGTAGTAGTAGTAGTAGTAGTAGTAGTAGTAGTAGTAGTAGTAGTAGTAGTAGTAGTAGTAGTAGTAGTAGTAGTAGTAGTAGTAGTAGTAGTAGTAGTAGTAGTAGTAGTAGTAGTAGTAGTAGTAGTAGTAGTAGTAGTAGTAGTAGTAGTAGTAGTAGTAGTAGTAGTAGTAGTAGTAGTAGTAGTAGTAGTAGTAGTAGTAGTAGTAGTAGTAGTAGTAGTAGTAGTAGTAGTAGTAGTAGTAGTAGTAGTAGTAGTAGTAGTAGTAGTAGTAGTAGTAGTAGTAGTAGTAGTAGTAGTAGTAGTAGTAGTAGTAGTAGTAGTAGTAGTAGTAGTAGTAGTAGTAGTAGTAGTAGTAGTAGTAGTAGTAGTAGTAGTAGTAGTAGTAGTAGTAGTAGTAGTAGTAGTAGTAGTAGTAGTAGTAGTAGTAGTAGTAGTAGTAGTAGTAGTAGTAGTAGTAGTAGTAGTAGTAGTAGTAGTAGTAGTAGTAGTAGTAGTAGTAGTAGTAGTAGTAGTAGTAGTAGTAGTAGTAGTAGTAGTAGTAGTAGTAGTAGTAGTAGTAGTAGTAGTAGTAGTAGTAGTAGTAGTAGTAGTAGTAGTAGTAGTAGTAGTAGTAGTAGTAGTAGTAGTAGTAGTAGTAGTAGTAGTAGTAGTAGTAGTAGTAGTAGTAGTAGTAGTAGTAGTAGTAGTAGTAGTAGTAGTAGTAGTAGTAGTAGTAGTAGTAGTAGTAGTAGTAGTAGTAGTAGTAGTAGTAGTAGTAGTAGTAGTAGTAGTAGTAGTAGTAGTAGTAGTAGTAGTAGTAGTAGTAGTAGTAGTAGTAGTAGTAGTAGTAGTAGTAGTAGTAGTAGTAGTAGTAGTAGTAGTAGTAGTAGTAGTAGTAGTAGTAGTAGTAGTAGTAGTAGTAGTAGTAGTAGTAGTAGTAGTAGTAGTAGTAGTAGTAGTAGTAGTAGTAGTAGTAGTAGTAGTAGTAGTAGTAGTAGTAGTAGTAGTAGTAGTAGTAGTAGTAGTAGTAGTAGTAGTAGTAGTAGTAGTAGTAGTAGTAGTAGTAGTAGTAGTAGTAGTAGTAGTAGTAGTAGTAGTAGTAGTAGTAGTAGTAGTAGTAGTAGTAGTAGTAGTAGTAGTAGTAGTAGTAGTAGTAGTAGTAGTAGTAGTAGTAGTAGTAGTAGTAGTAGTAGTAGTAGTAGTAGTAGTAGTAGTAGTAGTAGTAGTAGTAGTAGTAGTAGTAGTAGTAGTAGTAGTAGTAGTAGTAGTAGTAGTAGTAGTAGTAGTAGTAGTAGTAGTAGTAGTAGTAGTAGTAGTAGTAGTAGTAGTAGTAGTAGTAGTAGTAGTAGTAGTAGTAGTAGTAGTAGTAGTAGTAGTAGTAGTAGATATAATTATTATTGTTTTGGTAGGGAAGGCCCTACAGACGTTGTTGTCTTGTTACAGGGAACCCTACAAGCACAAGTCATGTTCATGTATCTCTACCGATACCCCAGTCGATAGGTTACAATACAATGCCAGGCTACTTGTAAAGTTAGTTGTACTTGTAGGACCAACGCAATGACTATGTACCATGACCCGGCCTGGGTATGGGGTCATGGGGGCTATTTTTTTGGAGGACAAGAGTACAATCAATTATCATGTACATCAGCTTCATGTATCAATTCACGCTTGCCAGTCTCGGTATAGGACAACATACAAATACAATCATGTATTATTTTTACTTACTCAATTAATCTGCGGACAGAGATGTTTCGTCCTTTTTTTTCTTTCTTTTTTTACTGAATACCACAGAACCATCAGATGCTGCACATGCACAGCGGGGGCGGTGGCATATTGGATGGCAGTGGCGGCGGGGCAAAAGTAACTCCTCCGACCAAAGGTCTCGGAATCATCGTTACTCCTGTGCGCCGATACATAGGAGAAAAGAAACATGTGCATCCAAGAGGGAGGCACCGGCTTTGCAAACGATAATGGGGAGAATTTGAGATTGAGATAGGACATAACAATAGTAAAAGCAGTGCACCGTAGGAAGATGGAGAGAACTGATAATCGCATATTAAGGCTGAGCGAAGGGGATCAAAGAGGGGTAGAAGGGAGCTGGAGTGCGGACAGTATAATTAGGCTGGTGTGTTGGTTGCGATGGAGAGATCATAACCTATCTGTGGCCCACCTCCACTTG